TGCAGCATCCTCAGCCTCCACACTGCTGATTGTGAGGGAGAAATCTGTCCCAGAGCCACTGCCACTGAACCTTGAGGGGACCCCATCGTGCAGGGTGGAAGCACTCTAATGAGGAGCCTAGGAGCCTGGCCTGGTTTCTGTTGGTATCAGTGTAGGCTGGTACCAACGCTCTGACTGGCCGTGCAGGACATGGTCACTGTCTCTCCTGGAGACACAGACAGGGAGGCTGGAGACTGGGTCAGCTCAATGGCCCCTCGGGCATCTGCAATCACAAACACAAGATAAAGAGTGAGAAAAATGCAAGTCATATATACAGCAGGAGAAATCTTTGGCCATGTTGTGAGCTAAACTTTCCTGTGCTGGGCCCTGCCCCCATGATCACCAGTGAAGAGCCACATTTCCTCTCTGACCCTCAGAATCACACACATTCTGACTTCTGCCCAGAGGGACAAAAGGCAGGGCTGTCTCTGGTCTTCCTCACTCACCTGGGATCCAGAGCAACAGGAAAAAGAGGAGGTGAGCCTGGGACCCCAAGGCCATGTGCCTGAGCTCTGAGCTGCACATCATCTTCCTTCCCAGATCCCTTTTTATAGCTGCTTTCCTCAGTAGTTTCAGGGGCTGGGAGTGAGCCATGCAAAACAGCGCAGAGAGGGAGTCTTCTGCCCATAAGACAGGCCCCAGTGATCTCACCTCTTAGACAGCCCAGAACCCTGAGCTGTGTGAGTGCAGCATTCCCCTTCTGGGACCCTGGCATTGGGGTATCTCAGTGGTGTTAGACCCCACTCTGTCCCCATCAGCCTTGAAATCCTGAAAGGCGCCAAGAAAGCTCAGACCAGACTGAGACCAGGAAGAAGTGATTCACATTTGTGTCCTGTGACATCAATGGGGTTAACCTCCATTTTAGCCTGAAGCATCATCATCACCATCAACCATGATTCTTATTCTGCTCCCCACTCACTGGTTCAGAGTGATTGGTACCAGTGTCTGATCATTAGGGAAGAATTTGTAAGCATTAGAGTCAGTATAACAGAAGGGAGTCATTTCCTAGTGTTTATATAAATGTTGCTGGATTTTTCCCCCCTCTGAAGAATTACCACAGCTACTGAGGAAAGTTCCTGCTACCAAAGTCCTTTCAAATGGCAAATGGTTCAGAATATGATTTCCTTGGAAGAAATTACATCAACTAAGAGGAATTGCCATCACTTTGCTGCTGCACCCTGTGGACCATGAGACCTTTCCATCCAACTTGCAGCTGAAGTCTCCCATATGGAACATCTCCCCCTACTGCAGGGTGAGCTCCTGGAGAGCAGGGGCCATCTGGCAGCTCCACTTGCATCTCCAACTCTTAACACAGTGATTTGCCCATCATGACTGCCTAATCAATATTTTTGAATTCATTAATGTATTCATGTATTAAAAAAGCACTATAAGAAGCTATGCTTCGGATGGGCCCCTCTACACTAGGGAAAAGCCATTTTTCTTCCTCAATGACACTACAGAGATGATCTGGAATGTTGGGATATGAATTCCCATGCAAGTGGAGTAGCAATAGGATGCTGTAAAAAGCATCTAGGTGGAGTTGCTAGGTGATGCAGTAGACAGAGCCCCTGCCTGGGATTCAGGAGGACCTGAGTTCAACTTTGTCCTCAGCCATTTACTAGCTGTCTGGCTGTGAGACCATGGGCAAGTCAGTTAACTCTAACTGCTTCCCTCAAAAATAAATAAATAAAAGCCACTACTAAGGCCAGAGAACTCACAATCTAGAATTTCATATATAAGTTAAGGGAAACTTCTCTCATGTAGAGATAATATTACCCATCCTGCAGCAGCCTCTCCCCAGGGACCTGGGCAGGCCTCCCCTGGGCACTCGAGCTTCTCTCTCCCTTTGCTCCTCTCTCCTGCCCTCACTGGCTCCTTGGTGCCTGGTAGTGGCTGGGCTGAGTAGCTACGCAGTGACCTTCACCTACTGCTCCTCCCTACCCTGGTTTCCTGTCTCTGTCCCACTGCACAGTCCTGTCCTCAGCCCCCAGGACATGAGAGGCCTTTGCTCCCAGACACATCCTGGCCCGGGCCTTCCACAGTCCTCTCCTCCTCAGCCTCCAACGGACGTTTGTCTCTTTTGCTCCAGGAGCAGAACTCTTACTCTACCAGGATATTGGGAAGCAGCAAGTAAAGTCACAAGACTAAGGTATTGTTCATACTTTCATAGACAGAAAATTATTGATGTCAGACTTATTCCCATATCCGTCCTCTGCATAGTCAGACTACTGATTGGTCTGAGCAAAGTTGAAAGGTGAGACATGCATTTAAAACAATTCCATCTTGACACAGTTAAATGAGTTATTGCCACTTAAAAATCAGATGGCAGAAAATGACAAAGGCATCATTTGCAATGGCTTCATATAAAAGTTAGATCTATGAAACTCTATTGTCATATGAAGAAAACCAAAAGAGAGTAAAAAGCACCTAAAAAGTCGAGAAATATTTCATTTACTTGCCAAGCAGACAAAGGTGGAAGTGAATGGAAAAAACGGTTTGGATTCTAAGTTCATTTGCAGAAGTTTGTGAAGAAGAAGTAGGAGTCATATCACCTCATTGATAAAGCTCTCATAACACAGAGAGAGGGAGAGAGAGAGAGAGAGAGAGAGAGAGAGAGAGAGAGAGAGAGAGAGAGAGAGAGAGAGAGAGAGAGAGAGAGAGAGAGAGAGAGAGAGAGAGAGAGATCGAGAGAGAGAGAGAGAGAGAGAGAGAGAGGAGAGAGAGAAGCAGATTAAGGAAAAACCAAGATGGAGAGAAGAAGGAAGAGGAGGAGGAGGAGTTGTAATTCAGCTGCCGGTGTTTTAGAGATGAGGAAATTGACAAGATGAAGAAATTTGCCCAAAGTCTAATAAGTGGACGTGTTACTCATTCGAATCCAGTTCCCTTACCTTCAAATCCCCTCTCCCCTTTTCCACTGCCCCACCCTGGAGATGGAATGCCATGTATAGGACATTGCGCCTAGACCAGCTTGAGTAGAATTTAGAATGCATAAAGGGGTAGTAATGGGCAACAATCCTTGATTAATGGGTTAGAACCAGATTGTAAAGAACCAAAGAAATGGGTCCTCTTGGTGGGGAGTGAGGGATGGGTATGGAAAAAGAAAGGAGGGGGAGGGAAGGGAGAACACCCATGTTTTAAAAAACAGATGTTTATTGACACTTTTTGTTTCTATAACACTGAAGTTCTTGGCTAAGTGTCCATGTTACACTGGTGTGATTGTGATGCCAGGAAAAAGTGAGGAAAGGCCTTGCACGTGAGATTAATTTCATCTGATCAATCAATCCATAAATCAGTTATCATGTAGAAAGTGCTCAATGTGTGCTAGGCCCTGAGCTAAGCACGGGATGTTCAAAATGAGGCAAAAGAAGCTCTGCCCTCAAGGCACTTACAGTCTAACAGGGGTGACAAAATGTAAATAAATCTATATAAAGCACACTACAGACTGGATAAACTGGAAGTACTTAAAGACGGAAGGCACTGGGATTAAGAGGCATGAGAGAAGGCTGGCCCCTGGAGTTTATTGAGTTGGGGGATGAGGAGGATGGTTATAAGATGAGACCTGCACTTTAGGAAAGTCACTTTACTGCCTGAATGGGCTGAGTGGACATGGCTGAGTCATCTACACAATTAGAGGGAAGAGATCCCAATGTGTATTTTACCCTGTCCTAAAGAAAGACAGCAACATCTTATGGTGCCATGCTTTAGTTGAACCCAGTGTGTTACATTCTTCCCTTGGGCAGGTCATCTCTAGAATAGTTTTATTTTGTCTTTTCCAGTTCCAGGTGCCCCATGGTAGGAGGAACCAAGAAATTATGGAAGTCAGCCAGAGAAATGGTCCAGATGGTGTAGGGTTGGAGTGAAAAAGATCAGTGGCAGGAAGCAGGGATGCTTGGCCTGCAGAACATACATGGTGTTAGGGATCTATAAGGATGTAGAGGGCCACAGGCTGTTCAAGAGGTGTCTGATTTTTGAGCAAAGGTCACCTGGTTCGGTTCTCGGATTGTATGGATCTGTAACAGTCTTTAATTCCCCTAGTTATTGTATGGTCATTAGCAGTCTATTCTGGGATTGGAGTCAGATAAATGCACAGGATGTGCATGCACTGTCCTTGAGCACAGCATGGGCTATGCGTCATTGTAACTTGAGGAACAGTTCCTGTTATTTTACTATATAAGGAAGTGCTTTGCTAAAAATAGACGGAGTTGCTTCCATCTTGTCTCCGCCTCATCAATGTGCATTCGAGATAGAAGGTTAAGCTGGTCTTATCCCTTCAAAGTTAGTATAGGATCCTGGTTCTAGTGGCGAGATGAATTAGTTGTGCACAAGAACATGGGGCACCAGGATGGATTGCAGGGTGACCTTCAAGCCTTCAAAGGTTTATCACAGGATCGAGGTGCGTGGCTTGTTCTGCTTGGCACCAGAGGCAGAAACTCCTGCAATGGGGAGATGCTGAAGAGAGGCAGATTTAATACTTGAAATAAGGACAAGGAACCTATGGAAGAAAACAAGCCTTTCCTAAGCCCCTACTGTGTGTCAGGCACTGTGCTAAGTGATTTACAAATAGAGCAGTTACTGCCCTTTTACCCAGTGATTGAAGGCCAGGTGTCTTACATAACTATCCTCTCTCCACTGCATCTCCTTGGTAGCTAGTGCTGCTGCCTTGGAGGTCTACAAGCAATGTCTTTAAGAATACTTACTGAGGATTTGGAAAAGGGAATCTTGGTCACGTATGGTTAGAGAAACTCAGCTTTGGGGTGTCATTGAATCATTGAGATTATGGCACTCTGTGATTCTTTTCTGGGAAATCAAGGTCAGATTTCATCACAGCTTATGTATCTTCTGAGGCCTAGAAACCTGCCCCTGAGGGAGCCCAGCCAAGCTGCCCCTGACCCAGCTGCTGGGGAAGGAGAAGCCCCTGGGCAGTGATGCCTCCCTCAGCTGCTGCCTGGGCAGGTTTTTGTTCAGAGCTGTAGCACTGTGGGGCGATAATTATAGTCTCTGACAGTATAGACTGCAGCATCCTCAGCCTCCACACTGCTGATTGTGAGGGAGAAATCTGTCCCAGAGCCACTGCCACTGAACCTCGAGGGGACCCCACCATGCAGGGTGGAAGCGTATCTAATGAGGAGCCTAGGAGCCTGGCCTGGTTTCTGTTGGTACCAGTGTAGGTAATTGCTAATGCCCTGACTGGCTGTGCAGGACATGGTAGCTTTCTCTCCTGGAGACACAGACAGGGAGGCTGGAGACTGGGTCAGCTCAATGGCCCCTCGGGCATCTGCAATCACAAACACAAGGTAAAGAGTGAGAAAAATGCAAGTCCATATTTACATTAGGAGAAATCTCTCAGACAATGTTGTGAGTTAAACCTTCCTGTGCTGGGCTCTGCCCCCATGATCATCAGTGAAGGGCCACATTTTCTGTAACCCTCAGAATCATACACATTCTGAGTTCTGCCCAGATGGAGAAAAGGCAGGGCTGTCCCTACTCTTCCTCACTCACCTGGGATCCAGAACAACAGGAAAAAGAGGAGGTGAGCCTGGGACCCCATGTCCATGTGCTTTAGCTCTCAGCTGCCCAGCACCTTCCTCCCCAGCTGCGTTTTTATAGCTGCTCTCCTGAGTAGCTTCAGGGGCTGGGAGTGAGCCATGCAAAACAGCTCAGGGGAGAGGCTTCTGCCAACAGGACAGGCCCCAGAGATCTTACCTCTTGGACATCCCTGAACCCTCAGCTGTGTGAGTGCAGCATTGCCCTTCTGGGATCCTGGGAATGGGGTACTGCAGTGGTGTTAGATACTACCAATTGCCCAGCAGCCCTGAAAAACTCAAAGGTGCCAAGAAAGCCCAGGACCAGACTGGGACCAGCCTGGAGCTGAGTCACATATGTGTGCAGTGTCTTTAACAGGGTTACACTCCATTCTAGCCTGCAGTACGCTCTCATCACTCATAATTCTTATTACACTCTGACTAACCGGTTCACAGTGATTTCTATGACTGTCTAATCATCAGGAAGGAATTTGTAGGCATTAGGGTCATTGCAACAGAAGGGAGTCGTTTCTTTTTTTTTCTTTTTTAAATTTTTTAAATTTTATTAATTTGTTTTGATGTATCAACAATCACTTCCACATGCTTTTGACTTTAAAATTTTTCTTCCCCTTCCTCCCCACCCCCTCCCCAAGATGGCCCACAATCAGATATAGGCTATACATTTGCATTTCTATAAAACAGATTTTTACATTAGTGAAGGTAGAAGTAAAAATTAAAACCGATAGGAGGAACCATCAGAAAGAGGAAACAAAACTCAACAGATGAGAAAAAAAAAGGATAGCGATTCAACTTCCATAGTTCTTTCTTTGGATGTGGATAGCATTCTCCATCACGAGGGCTCTGGACATGTCTTGGATCCTTGTAATGCTGAGAAAGGTTAAGTTTATCAATATTAGTCATCACACAATGTGGCTGTTATTGTGTACAAAGTTCCCTTGGTTCTGCTCACTTCACTCAGCATCAGACCATGCAAGTGTTTCCGGGTCTTTCTCAAGTCAGCCTGTTCATCATGTCTTATAGCACAATAGTATTCCATTGCATTAAGGGAGTCATTTCTTAGCATTTATGTAAATGTTGTTAGATATTTTCTCCCCTCTGCAGAATTACCACAGCTCCTGAAGAAAGTTCCAGCCACCAAAATCCTTGGAACTGGCAAATGGTTCAGCCTCAGAAATTGATATGATTTGATTGGAAGAAATTACATCAATGAAGAAGAATTGCCATGTCTTTGCTGTCACACCTTTAGGACCATGAAGCCTTTCCATCCAACTTGCAGCTGAAGTCTCCAGTATGAGATATCTCCCCCTACTGCAGGGTGAGCTCCTGGAGAGCAGGGGCCATCTTCCAGCTCTTCTTGGATCTCCAGCTCTTTGCACAGTGTTTTCTCCATCGTAGCAGCCTAATGAGTATTTGTTTAAGTTCATGAATGTATTCATTGATGAAAAGGGTACTCTATGAAGTGATGTTTTGGATTGGCCCCTGTGCACCAGGGAAATCACAGTTTTCTTCCTTGCTGGCTCTACACAGGCGATCTGGGCACTTTGGGGTATAAATTCCCATGCAATCGGAGTATCCACAGTTTCCTCTACAAAGCTTCTAGGTGTGGCCGCTAGGAGGTAGAGTGGATAGAGACCTGGCCTTGAAGTGAGAAGAACCTAAGTTCAAATCCAGAAGAAACTGTGCAGAAATTCTAGGGAAATTCAGAACTAACTATAAACTAAATCAACCTATAATAAGGTACTCATTGACTTCACTTAAAAATTGGGAAATGGTGGAAAATATGTTAGAATGTGTGGATCAAGAATAAGGATATGAAAGAGTCATGGATTGTAAACTACACAGAATCCTCATGATAAGCACCTAGTAAAGTCACAAAAATAAGATATCGATCATATTTTCATAGACATGAAATGAGTCATTACTGATGTAAGACTCATTCCTGTGCAATTTCTCTGAGTGGTCAGACTATCAATTTGTTTCACCAAAGAAGAAAGGTGAGATATGCCTTTAAAAGAATTCCATCCAGCCATATTTTACACGTTATGCGCATTGAAGAATAGGACAGCAGAAAATGACCAAGGCATCAATTACAATGACTTCATATTGGAATTCATCCAGTGAAACTCTGTTGTCCAAAAAAGAGAGCAAAAGAGCCTGAAAAGTGGGGAAATGTTTAATATGCTTGCCAAGTGGAAAAAGCCAGACCTCAAGGGCAATACCAGTTAGGATTATAAATTGATCTGCAGAATCTTCTAAAGAAGGATTATAAGCCGTTTCACCTCATTGATGATGCTGTCATGAAAGTGAGAGGGGTTCAGGAAAAAGACAGAAAAAGAGACACAGAGAGAGACAGAAAAGCAGATTGAGGAAAAAACCATCTCAAGAACCTAATTGACTGTGTCCTGATGTTGCGGTCTGAGAGATTGAGACCCCTCAAAGTTTGGAGTATAGGCCGGGTCACCTGGAATGAATTCAGAGACTCAAGCATTCTTCAAATGAAGGTGGCAAGAATTTATTGTTATCCTTTTCCGCAGGCAAGGATTCTCAAGGAACCTGCGAGAGACTGAGGATGGAGCTAGGGTTTATATGGAAAAGGGCATGGGAAAGGAATGCCAGGGACACTGATGAGGTAATCTAAAGGTCCAGGTGTCTTTGGGAGCTATGGATGGGAAAGTACAGGGAATATACTGGACAGGGAGGGAGATGACAGAGGTATGGATGTTTGGAGTCTGGCAGGAGGAAGAGTCCTTGGGTTGGCCTAGGACAGAACTCCTTGGGCTAGGCAAGGCACCCGTCCCCATCTGTCTTGATGAGAGAATGGTGTGCAACAAGGGAAAGCTTTCTCACAAGACAGGAACTTACTAAGAAATTGGGAGGCTTCCAGAGACATGATGTGAGGGCTGGGGCCTGAGCAACCCAGCACTCTCTCACCCAGCTTTGTGTAGCTGCACCAGGGAGAGAGATCAGGGTCATGCTGGGACACACACATGAATAACTGCTAGGCACAGTGTCGTTGGGCTGGGGATTGGTTGTCTGAGACAATGTTTCTGAGAGTAGGGGGCAATTGGGGTCCAAGTACAAGCACAAGCACCCAAGCACCTCATCACAGAGGCTATTGAAGGATAGAAGAAGATGGAGAGAAGGAGGAAGAGGAGAAAGAGAAGGAGGCAGATGAAGAAGAGGAGGAGGACTAGGAGGAAGAGGAGTTAGATTTCAGCCCCTTTGTTTTAGAGATGAGAAAGCTGACACATGAAGAAATTTATCCAAGGTCTAGTAAGTGGCTGTGCTAATGGTTTAAATCCAATCCCCTACTTTTTCCTCTGCCTCACACTGGAGATGCAATGCCAGCTTGACTAGGATTTAGAATTCAGAAGGGAGAGTAATGTGCCATCATCCTTGATTTGTAGTTAGAACCAGATTGTGAAAAACCAAATAAACGAGTCCTCTTGGTGGGGAGTGGGGGATGAGTATGGCGAAAGGAGGAGGAGGAAGGGAGGAGGGAGAATATTTATTTTTTGTAAATGGATCTTTATTGACATCTTTTGTTTCTGTAACAGTGAAATCCTTGGCAAGTTGCCATGTTACACTGGTGTGATTGGTATGCCAAGAGAAAGCGTGGAAGGAGCCTGGCACATGAGATTGACCCCATGAGATGAACTTGTATGAGGAGAAGATAAGAGGGGCAGACAGAATTAATCAATTCTTGAATCAGTTAACATGTAAGAAGTGCCTGATGTGTGCTAGGCACTGTGCTAAGCACTGGAGGTTCAAAATGTTGCTAAGGAATCCTTTTAAACAAATACATACAAAGCATGCTATATACAGGATAGAATTAGGAGGAATTAGAGAAGGCTTCCTGTGGAAGATAGGACAACCAGATTGGGAAACTGCTCTTGGGGAGGAGTGGGGATAGGTGTGAAGAAAAGAGGGCCATGGCTGCGGCAGCCCAGCCCAGCAGTGGCAGCAGGTACCAGCATTCGCAAATTGAGGAAAGACCTGGAGAGCCTGAGCGACTTGGTAGTGACACTGGTCTCCTGTACAGCAGCATCTCTGCAGAGTGCTGCAGATTTTGACTACAAATATAAATCTGGATTTCCTAAGTTCCATCCTTACAAGGTGGCTTCCACTTTGCCTACCTATGATGAAGCAGAAAGAACCGAGGCTCTCCCTGGTTTCTGTGAGAGAAGATGATTTTGTAGCAAGGGATGATTTTGATGATGCTGACCAGCTGAAGAGAGGACCTGATGGGATATTCAAGTTAACTGTTTTCATGGCATTTCTCTTGAACTGGATTGGGTTTTGGCTGTCTTTCTGTGTGACCGCCTCAGCTGCAGGAAGATGTGGGGCCATTTGAAGGGTGTGTCCTATCTTTAATTAAGTGGATCTTGATTGTCAGGTTTTCCACTTATTTCCCTGGCTACTCTGATGGTCAGTACTGGCTCTGGTGGGTTTTCCTCATATTAGGCTTTCTCCTCTTTCTCAGAGGATCTATCATTTATGCAAAGGTTTGGAAGATGCCAGATACTTTTTCAACCCTCCCCAGGACCAGAGTTCTCTTTATTTGCTGAAGATGTTTTCTGGCAAATACCTTCGTGCATCAATGAATTCTCTCTCAAGAAACAACAGGACACCAGCAGGAAGTGAATCAATACTCAAAGCACAGAAGAAATAATCACTTGCTTTAAAAAATAAATAAACAGTGTTTAAGATAAAAAAAAAGGATGGGCAGTATTTTAAAAACAGGTCCTTATGGACATCTTTTGTTTCTATAACACTTAAGTTCTTGGCTAGTCTGTATGTTACACTGGTCTGATTGTGCCAAGAGGAAGTGAGGGAAGGTCTAGCACATGAGATTGACCCCACGAGATGGATTTCTATGAGGACAGGACAAGGAGGGGTAGCGTCGGATCAATAAATTCATAAATCAGTTATCATGTGGTAAGCACCTAATGTGTGCTAGGAATTGTGCTAAGCACTGGAGGTTCACAATGAGACAAAAGAAGTGCTGCCCTCAAGGAGCTTACAATCTAGTTGGGGAGAGGACATGTAAACAAA